TAAAGTTGTTGGGCACCGGAAGTTGGTGTTGCGGTAGAGGGTAGAGTGAAGTTAGCGGACCGAGTGGTGTAGGTTAGTTGTATGTGTATGTCGTTATGCGTTATGGCGCATGAGCATGGTTCGAAATCATGGTCTCGTCACTTTGTCTCTTTTGCCAAGTTCAGAAGTTCAGAGGAATCCCAACTCAAAAATCCTACCTTGGGTTGTTGTGGTAGGTCTGTAGGTCTGTAGCATGTAGCATGTAGCATGTAGCATCCCATCAGGTGGACGAACTTCCCTTTTCCTGCAAGGTCCCTGTCATCAATTGTCCCCCAGTTGTCCCATTTGTCCCATTTGTCCCATTTGTCCCATTTGTCCCATTTGTCCCATCCCATTTTGTCCCCTAAGAATGCCCGCATTAGCGCCTTCGCCCGAGGCGTCTAGCCCTTTTCTCTTCTTTTTTCTCGGGCTACTTACAGCAGGTAACCCCCCTAGAACGTGTCACGTGTGCACGCCCGGAGTTAGGAACAAAGCCCACTGATAGAAGAGAACTGATCGCTATTCGGGGGCAATCCCTCCTTAGCTGCCGCGTCCCACCGTCATTACGGCGCCCTAGTGGAAGATTAAATCATTGGTAATAAATGAGCAGCAATGCATTCCTATATCGAATGAGTTTTAAGGCCTAACTCGGGCAGGGTGGAAGGGTTGAAATTCTGTTAATAATCCAGATAAATGCGTATACTAGGTATGTTTAGGAACTACTACCTGTAATAGAAATCATTTAGTCAGTTATGCACCTAGGTCTTTACTTGATTTACGCCTCTCGAGCATCACGCTACGTTCTTAGGCTGAACCAGAATAGACATCTGCCAATTTTTCTGCATCGCTTAGTATATTCTCGAAGGTCGTGTCCGCACTGTCGAAATTGCATATCTAGTACGTCAGTGCGCATATGATCGAATTCAGGAATCTTTCATGGCCAAGCTCAGGTATGATAGTCCAGTCTTAAAGCCTCTGTATTATATAATTTACCTCATTGAACCTACCCCCTTAGATATGTTAGGGGTCACTCACACCAAATACTTACACCGGGCTTGCTCACATCTTCTTCAAGGGCTGCGTACGCCGACCTGGATGTCTCGTATTGCAATTACCTACCTAGGTATTTTCCTACAGTGGTAATTTTGTGTAACTATATAAGTCGTGACACGGCGTTCGGCGATGATAGTGAATTCCGTCGCATCTAGCCCGATCCCATCTGCTTCTCACGGCGCTTTAACCTATCAAAAACAGCCAGGCAGTAGATTCCAAACGCTAGATCTAGCCGTGGCCTGGAGTCCCTTGCCGCATCGATTGTGTCTTCTTTTACGGTTTGCTAACGCGCAGTGACTCGTCATACCTCGGATTGTTTCGATCCCTGCCCCTAGGAAATCGTAAAAGAGTTGATCTTGGGGAACCCGACAGCGTGGATACCTAGCACCAAACTTTATCTCGCATGCGGTAGGACCCTTTGCTCGTTAAGCTTAGTACCGAGCCTAATAAAGGGGCTCGCCCCGAGCTTGAGCTCACCTCGCTATCGGAGCCTAATATACCTAATATAAAGCCTTTAGCAACAGGCAACCCGGCAGGCAGCACGACAGGATCACATACTCTTCTTTAAATTTAAACGAGACCTTCGGAATCCACACCGCTTGAAATTAAGAATGCTCGGAGATAAAGCGGACCAGAGACGGGGCGGATTCGCCGGCCTATGCCCCTGGTCAGTGTCAAGCTCCTCGAAGCAAACTACCCCGACATATCTTGGGGCTCACAACTGGTCAGGTTACGTTCGGAATGCATGCAACCAACAGTGATGGCCGCCCGCTGACCAATGGTCCTTGACACAGCTCATTCGACCTCCCCCAGCTCGATGTCTCCACGATGCTGTCATAAGCGCTGTGCCGCATCAAAGACCCTAGCTTGGTCAGGTCTAATTTGCGCGGGGTGGCTATGTAGCCCTCGGCAGGAAGATGAGGCGAGGAGCATGCATACATATCAGCACCATGTACATATATGCATTCGCATACAAGTACGATGTTTACATCACCCGTGATTTGTAGCTTCATAATGCATGGCTGCCCTCGGTTCCGAATGCTACCAAGGCCCTTTGTCAAGGAGCCGAATGTCCATAGATATAGCTTCCATGTATTCCCGGCGCTCCTAGCCGTTTGTTTTCCCATGATGTTGTAGTATACTTGACGCAAAATATCTCCGCTACCTTTCGTTATGGCGTCACGCTCCTTTTCGATAATCCCTCCCATGATCTGGCTTCTACCCTTTTTGCAGTATGTTCTCCCTCAAACTTGTTGGAGAGACACGCCCTGTACAGGTGCTGAGACGGCAGCCTTTCCTGGTGAATGGGAATCGAATATGTTTGCCCCGTCGTCCCGAATCGTCACTCCCAAAGCTGTCTCTGATCTAGAGACTGGGAGGGGTTCTTTGTTGGAGTCTGTCTCTCTGACCAGCACCCAATCGGGCATCTACTACGACTTCGGCCTAGAGGTCGGAGGGGTTGTTACGATACAGTTCTCCGTCTCGTCTACCGATGGCGAGGGCGCTCTTGGCATAGCTTTTACAGAAGCCAAAGACTGGATTGGCCCAGTCTCGGATTCTTCTAGTGGTATATACGAAAGAAAGGATGGTGCGCTTTACGCCAATTTCTCCTCGACTGGGGATAATACCTACGTCATGCCAGATGAGCAGCTTCGTGGCGGTTTTCGATATATGACCCTGTTCCTGGTTGGAGCCAGCTCCTCTGTTACGATTAACAATGTTAGCCTAGAGTTATCCTTCCAGCCTACCTGGTCGAACCTCCGCGCCTATCAGGGGTATTTTCATAGCAACGACGATTTGCTGAATAAGATATGGTATAGCGGTGCCTATGTAAGTGTAGCTAAGGGTTGTATATCGGCGCCCTTATTCATCTCTGTCGAACCTATTTTTCAGGGCAGGACTTTACAAGCTAAGTCGAATCAATGAGGAAAGCCGTGTGCTAAGTAATACTGTATTGATACCACTTTCTGTAGACTATTCAGACGAATGCGCTTCATCCTTCGACCGGAAGAGCCTGGCCTGGCCCAGACAGCCAATGGCTCAACAATGGTGACATCGGACCAGGTAACACGATCAATACCGACGGCGCAAAGCGTGATAGGACTGTATGGCCCGGCGACATGGGAGTTGCGATATCTGCTGCTTTCTATAGCACCGGCGATATTGAGTCAGTTCTCGGGACGCTTCAGCCGTTCACGAGTCTCTCTGCTTACCGTATTTAGGAGTGTCAAGAACTCGTTGGAAGTGTTATATAGCATCCAGGTCAGTGCTACCTACCACAGTCAACCTCTGGATGAGTGATTCGCTGCTGATAGGATCTGTCCGTGTATAGGCAGAAGATGGCCTGCTGCCCTTTTCGGGGCCACCGCTTCTCGCCACGAATAGTGATACATACCACATGTAAGACCGTACCTCTATCATCCTATCGAGCACCACAGCTAACCATATTCCCTGTTACGAGGTGGACCATGATCGGAACGTACAATTACGTACTCTATTCCGGAGACCTGGACTTCATCCGAGACACTTGGGCCAAGTATCTTGCGGCCATGAATTTTATTGTTGACCAACTCGACTCATCCCTGGGTCTGCTGAATATCACGGGTTACACAGAAGACTGGGGTCGCTTCTATACCGACAGCACGTTAGTCTCGGCACAGATGCTCTATTACCGCACGCTTATCACTGGTTCCGCGTTGGCTACTTGGTTAGGTGACACAACTGGGGTCAACTCGACATGGCTCGAATCTGCGTCTAAGCTCCGAAGCGCCATCAACGTGCGCCTCTGGGATGAAACGTCGGGCGCGTTTGACAACAGCGTCGAGTCGCGCGACAACAATACGGGTTTGTATCCTCAGGACGGTAATGCTCTGGCGGTGCTTTTCGGCGTGGTGAACGCCACTTCGGATCAAGCGCAGGATATTTCTACGTCGCTGACGAAGAATTGGACTCCCATTGGGGCGGAGAGTCCTGAGCTTCCCGGAGAAGTCTCGCCGTTTATCTCCTCGTTTGAAATCCAGGCACACCTGTTTGCAGGGCAGACGCAGCGTGCTCTTGATTTGATACGCACCTCCTGGGGATGGTACCTTCACAATGAGAATGGCACGCAGTCTACCATGATTGAGGGTTACTTGGTAGATGGCTCTTTTGGCTACCGGCACGATGCCGGCTACGAAGAGGATTATTCGTATACTTCCCACTCTCGTAAGTGGATTCTAAGGCTCGTGCCTTATGCAACTCTATATGCAGCAATTAAGCAATTACTCACTTTGGGATGTTCTAGATGGATGGGCGACAGGTCCTGTGACTGCATTGACAGAATATGTCGTTGGTCTCAGCATTACGAGCCTAGCTGGGTCGACTTGGCAACTTGCGCCTCATTTTGGAGACCTTCAGCACGCCGAAGGCGGCTTCACAACTAGCCTTGGGAAGTATTCTGCAGCCTGGACTGCAGACGGCGATGGTAGCTACGTATTAGACTACAGCGCTCCGGAGGGCACCTCTGGTGTATTGATTCTTCCTGGATCAAACCAGAGTGAGAGATATAGGGTTGCGGTAGATGGGCAATCAACGATGGTGAGTTTCTCCGAGTCTGTTGAGATAGGGAGCAACAGAAACTCGTACATTATTGAAGGGAGAGGCGGCAAACATCGAATTGAAGTTAGCTAGATCGACCATTTAAAATATGATGTAGTTTCACCGAGACAAGATATTGCGCATCGTGAACAATTCCACCTCTTACTTAACATCGATTTGTACTCGACCTTCAACCCTTTTCTGACCAGGTAGGTTACATGAAGAATCTTCTCAGTCATCGGGGGATTTAATTAGCAATCTCATATGGTTAAGGTTAATGTAAAATCTCCAAAGGTCGCAAAAAGAAAATATGGTTAATAAAATAATTGAATTAAAGGCAAAATTATATATGACACCCTACGTGGGACTCGAACCCACAACCTTCAGATAGCTAGGCACTAGCGATGGTGACGCCATGACTTAGAAGTCTGATGCTCTACCATTGAGCCAGCAGGGCAGATACGGTCGGATAAAGCTCGGTTGCTAGAATGTAATTGACCAAGAATTTACTTAGCTTTATATCATCTACCTATGTTTGAGACGGTCATCTTTAGTGTAAGGGTTGCAAACCCGAGGCTTCGAGGCAGTGCACAGGTCAAGGGGTGTACCGTGCAATGCATTGCATTCTAAAGAAGAACTCGGGGATATGCATTTAATCATCTTCCCCGCCTAGGAATCACCTGATCTCGACCCCTTCTCGCGTTAAGTGCAATGCGCTAAAACACTAAAACGCGTCAAGCAGTTTCTAGAAAACAAATCCGTCCCACCTTTCTCAAAACTGATGTCAACCTCCCATTCTACCAACTAACAGCCAGGCAACAAAACCTCCAATCGCGAGTCCATGCGACCGCCTAACACATTGGCTTGATTCTTCCATCCTATTTTCACAGCAATACGAATTGCATTCGTCCTGGAATGCCTTGACATCTCACCTCCAACCTCTAACCTGTATAACCCAAATCGCGTTCGTAACCTCCACAATGCCGGAGCAAAGTGACTCTGCCGCGCTGTTTAGCAACTGCGTGTTCCTCTTTGTTAAGAGCAAGGACCTGGATAACGATTCGCTTGAGAGTGTAAGTTGCAATTGTTCAATATAGTTTACTAAGACTTGCGATGCTTACTCATGGTATAGTTTAAAGCAATTGTCGAGGAGCGTGGTGGCGTCGTTAAAGAGCCTACACGAACCGAGCCGGTGGACCTCGCGGAAGATAAAATTACCCACATCATCGCCAACACGATCGAATTTGAAGATTATACCAAGGCGACTTCCATGATGATTGCCGTTGTCAAATCGAGCTGGATCCAGGCATCTTTAATGAAGGGCAGGCAGGCACAGATACGCCCCTTTACGCCTGACCCCCGAATGATATTCTCCGATGTGGTATTATCTTGTGCTGATATCCCATCTACCGACAAAGACACAATCATTGGTGCTACAATGGCCATGGGTGGAATGGACTCGGAACTGGTCACAAAGTTGACCACCCACATCTGCGCTCTCTCTCTGGACCACCCGAAATGTGAATTGGCCAGAAAAAGGCACATCAAGTGCAAGATCGTTCTTCCTCATTGGTATATATATTCCGTGTAAAGAGTGAGGGAACTTGAATCTAACATGGTCAAGGTTCGACGATTGCTTCAAGCTCGGAAAGCGGATTGACGAGGGCCCGTATCTTTTTCCTGATCCGGCCTATCTTCGCGCCAGTCCCACGGATGCGATTGCAGTACCCTCAAGCCAACATCTTGAAGGTGCCACTTCGGCTTCACCGGACTATATACCCGCACCTTCCGATGTCGCAGGGGCCCGCCCTACTCTTACCGTATTCGAGGGCAAGAGGGTCATGTTATCAACAGACTTGTCGATTAGGGATCGCCTCAAGGAAATCATTCAGGGGCTCATAAATAATGGTGGAGGTGAGATGACCGATCATGTCGAAGATTGCAACTGGTTCATCTGCCAATACCGTGATGGACCACAGTACATTCGTGCCGCGCAAGCTGGCAAGACAGTGGGCAACCTGTCTTGGCTGTATTACACCATCACGCACAACAAGTGGACTGACCCTCTGCATCGACTCCTTCACTATCCCGTCCCGCGTGACGGCATTCCGGGATTCAAAGGCAAAAAGATCACCGTATCGAACTATGGAGGTGAGGCCCGTATATATTTGGAGAATTTGATCACCGCTACAGGAGCAGAATATACCAAGACGATGAAGGCCGAGAACACCCATTTGATCACGGCTCGAAATAATAGCGAGAAGTGGGACGCCGCTGTAGATTGGGGCATCGAGAGGCTCAACCACCTTTGGCTCGAAGAGAGCTATGCCAAGTGTGAGGCGCAAACCGTGGGACTTGAAAAATATATTCATTTCCCACCGCGCACGAACCTCTCGGAGATTATTGGCCAGACGTTCCTGGACGAAAAAAAGCTTCGTGCTCTGTACTATCCGGGTGGACCAGAGAATTCTACCCCGTCTAAGCTTAAGCGTAAGATGCAAGATATGGCCAATGAGAATTCGTACTCCGATGGACCAGCTGAAGGTGTCGCAATTGGTCGGCAAGCGCATAAGGAATTCGATGTCATGATGGATACAGATGCTGATTACGCGCAGAAGACTACTGAGGTCTTCGGTGTACCAGCTCCACAAAGGCGCCGCGCGACAACGCAGTTCGCTACCCCGGCTAAGGGCCGTCACGTCCGTGAGGGAAAGGAGAACGAAACGCCATCAACGGTCTCTTCCTCGAGCCGGAGCGCAAAGGACAAGGCGTTGAACAGGCTATCAGCCCTTGCACCCGACATCAATCTGTACGAGAAAGAAAAGAAGCGAGGGCTCAAGGATAATGGACTGTGGGGAGGTAAGCGAGCAGCTGATCATATCGAGCGAGAGCATCTCAACCGCCGCAGCGTTTCGAGCCCAGCCGCAGGGGGTGAAGAGAAAGAGAAGGAGAAAGAGGTCAAGGCCGAAAAGCGTCCAGCAAAGAGAGCGAGGCCATCACTTCCAGATGTCGACAAGCGGGTAGTCCTAACCGGATTTCATCGATGGGTCAATGACAAGCATCGCGAGGATGCAGATCGGGTAAGTGCACCAACTGTTACATCATGAATTTTCCCTAATACCCTGAAACAGAAGAAATTACGCGAACTAGGTATCGCGGTTGTCATGGATGGCCAGCCGTGCGACTATCTCGTAGCTCCGTCCTTGGTACGGACGGTCAAATTCCTTCGCAATCTGTCCAAAGGAGTCACCATTGTATCTTCCAACTGGATTGAAGAATGTCTCGATACCAAGCAAATGCCCAAGCCTGAGGATTATGTCCTCAAGGACGAGGAGAACGAGAAGAAATTCGGCATCACGCTTGCACAATCGGTCCGCCAAGCCCGAAAGAACAAAGGAAAGCTCCTTTGGAATACTCCTATATACTGTACGGCTAGCATCAAGAATGGTCCGGATGGTTATCGGGCTATCGCCGAGGCCAACGGTGCCACCTTCATGATGTACAGCGCGAGAAGCGGGACTACGATCAAGCCTACCCCTCCGGAAGAGGACGAAGGGGGCCCGGATCCGGTGTACCTGTTAAGTAACTCGAGTCCGGAAGAGAAGAAGCTATGGCCGAAATTCACTGCCATGGCTATAAAAGGCAACATGGTGCCTCGCATCGTCGCGGCAGATTGGTTGCTAGATGTGGTTATAAAGCAGGAAGTCTTCTTCGACGAGAAGTACCTGGTAAACAACTTCTTCAACTGAGGGTCAGGCGTTGTGCCGCCCAGTTGTTCTTCTAATGTATGAATTCGATGCATAGCCCTGGGATGGTGGGCCGAGGAGGGAGGCGTTCCGGTATATTCGTATCGCATCTATTCCCTTTGCTTTTGCTTTCCTTTACGCTTTCTCTGCCCTCCCAGCCTCGGGTCGCAGAAGGTTGGCGGCTACCGTGCTACATCGCATAGCACTGCTTGTAAATAGTGTTATAACCGGAACATGCAAATGGAATCCGCCATCAGAAGAATTTAACGCCTTGCTGGTCTTCCTGGCCGAATATCTGCGCCTTGCCGCGCTTGACTAGGACTTGGAGTGCTTTCTGGAGCAGGTCGGGGTCGAGACCGTGGAACTCTGATTCGCTCGTATCAGTGACATGTTTTACTCCATCCTCCCACTACTGCTGCCATAATATGTGTTATACGCATTCTAGAGCAAAAAAAAAACTTACCAGTGCCCCTCGTACCCTCGCCCTCGGTCAGCTCGTACAGCGTAAGCACGGTGCCCTTCTGCGCCGTATCCTCGACCCAGTCCTCGACGAGCCCGGCCCACTCCTCGAGAGTCCGCCAGTACACCCAGAACACGTCTCCTCCTCCGCCCGAGCCCGCGCCCCCGCTCCCGTCGTCCCTGCCGGCGCCGTCGCCGCCCACGGGCTCGGCGCGGCCCTCGCGCCGCATGAAGTCCAGCACCTCGCGGGCGTCGGCGAGCGACAGGCTCCGGCCCAGCCGCCGGTTGCGGAACAGGTCCTCGTGGGGGGCGCCGTCGTAGGACAGCGAGAGGCGGAAGAGCCGGTGGTGGCGGCAGTAGGACAGCACTAGCGACGACCACTTCTCCAGCTGGCTGTGCAGCGTCGTGAGGTTCGACTGCCGCGTGAAGAAGGGCGGGAAGTGGTACTCGCGCGGGAAGTCGAAGGCGGATCGAGGTGGAGGTTGGGGTTGGGACGGTTGGAGGGATTGCGGTTGCGACGGGGATGGGGTTGTTGAAGATGAGGACGGTGGGAGGGACATCTTGGCTGTTTCGAGAGATGCGACGGGGATATAATATAGTACTTTGGTTCGAAGGATGCTGGAGGAAGCGCTGGTCGAATATCTCTCGTCGGTTGTACGGGTTTTACATAATAGGATTAAGAGGCTCCAAAAGGAAGTCCGAAGTTGAAAGACGTGAATATATTACAAGTTGTGGTGGGGTTCACGGAGCTTGTATCCCACTATAGTCTCAAATTAAGTCTTAGCCTTCCTGTTTATCGATAGCCTATTGCCTATTCACTCGAAGAGATGTTCACGGAATCATTCTAGTGTGGAATATAAAACAATTGCTTCCTCTAAAAACGTCGGGCAATAGGTATTTTCCAACCAGCCTTTCAAACCATCCCGAGCGTCATCATTAGGGTCATTCAAAGTAGTTCTTCGTACCGAGTCCCACCCGAACTCCACGCAAATAACGACACCCACGAACAATGCACAAAACAAGGCTTCCCCCCTTTTCAACCTGACAAATCAAGTCAAACGTCAACGCTACGGGTATCATCTCGCATCTCGTCGCTACCCAGTTCCTTCTCGAGTTCGTCCGCCACGAAGCCCTCGTAGTCTTCCAGGTTCTTCTGGATGTGCACCTTGAATTTGATGATGTCGTTGAGCATCCTCTCGACCTCGGTATGCAGCTCCTCGCGCAGCGCGTTGGCTTGGAGCTTTAGTTGCTC